ATACCATAATATATATATATATATATATATATATATATATATATATATATATATATATATATATATATATATATATATATATAAAAAGACATAAACAACAAATTTCAATCTTAAAATTTTATTTCATCGCGATGAAATAAAATTTTAAGATTGAAATTTGTTGTTTATGTCTTTTTATTTGCTCTACTTTATTGGTGTTGAGCACTCTAGTTCACTACGCACAAATTCAATATTGAATATTATATATATATATATATATATATATATATATATATATATATATATATATATATATAGAGAGAGAGAGAGAGAGAGAGAGAGAGAGAGAGAGAGATAGAGATATAAAGATATAGAGATATAGATATATATATAGAGATATAGAGATATAGAGATATAGAGATATACAGGGTGTATCAAAAAAAACTGAACAGATTTGAAATTGCTCTCAATTTCGCAAAACACCTATTTGTATCTGTTTTTTTTTATATATATAGCTTCTTTGGGTACTTATAATGTGAAATAATGAAAAAAATTTCTCGAACTCAAATTTTGTGAACCAGGGGGGTGTGTCTTTTCCAACAAACTAAAAATGGCTCGCGCACAAAATTTAAAAGCTGTAATAATATTTTGAGTTGATAGATTGAAAATTTGTCGGGTTTTTAATTACTGTACAAAATTGCAAACAATTTGGTTTAGTTTAAGCCCTTTAACTATTCATTTTGTTCTAAAAAGTCAGCCTTTCGCATGCTTAATTAATGCCTTTACCTAATTTGCATATTGCTGACATATGCAAATTAGGCAAATGCATTAATTAAGCATGCAAATAGCTGATTTTTCGGGAAAATTGTAACTTTTCGTGAATAGTTAAGGGGCTTAAACTAAACCAAATTGTCTGAAATTTTGTACAGTAATTAAAATCCCGACAAATTTTCCATCTGTTAACTCAAAATATGATTGCAGCTTTTAAATTTTGTGCGCGAGCCATTTTTAGTTTGTTGGAAAAGACACACCCCCCTGGTTCACAAAATTTGAGTTCGAGAAATTTTTTTCATTATTTCACATTATAAGTACCCAAAGAAGCTATATATATAAAAAACCAGATACAAATAGGTGTTTTGCGAAATTGAGAGCAATTTTAAATCTGTTCAGTTTTTTTTGATACACCCTGTAGAGATATAGAGATATAGATATATATATAGCTAATTCAATAAAGATTGTCCTTTGAAAACCTTAAACTCGAAACCCTAAACCTTAAACTCTAAGCGCGCAAAGCCTAATGGGAGTATAAGTTCCAAGCTTTGTAGTTGAATATTGCAGCTTTTTTGTAGTGAATTGTTCTCGGAGGGGGATATTTGCCATGTTTCTAAGAAATCGGCTTCATAGATGATTTCTAAACGGTTTAAATGTTAAATGCTAAAACTTGTTTCTCCTAAATTGTGGTACATTAAATACTTTTTAGTATTTTTCAATGCGTCTGCATTTGCACAAGAATGCATGCCAAAAGCCACTATCATTTAGAAATATGTAAGTGTACACAGAATCAATGAGACATTGCGTTCATGTGAAGATAAATGTTGAAGTCCTTGATTTCCTGACTTGTCAACGTCATTTAACAAGTCATGTTATTATTATTCGTAATTTGTGTTTTAATATACTTTTTATTTCTACCTTCTAAATCTTTTGCAGATTGATCACCTACAAACAAGAAGAAAAAGATATCAAAATTTACACCACATAAAAAGACGCGAATCGTCGTTGTCAAGGTACATAATGTTATCTTTTTCCCAGACAACAATTATGTAGAGCAGAAAAGATTTTAAACTTCTATCCATTTTGTTATGATGATACTCAATTTTTATACATATTGAAAGTGTAATAGAGAAAATTTAGTTCCCGGGTATCTGGCTTTTGACTAGTTTTACTGAAACAGAAAAACGTGAGTAAAATGCAACACTGTCAAAACGATTACACATATTTATCAGGTGTCCTGTAAGCATCGCGTATCGTAATTTATTATACACTTGCTGTATATACATGGATGAAATAAAAAATGTATTTAAAGAAGGACAAAGTGAGTAAGGGAGTTGATTGATCATTACTGGTTTCCTCAGTAGGGAGAATTATAGTATCAGCATTTTCGCTCAAATTTGTAAACTTAGCGCTCGCTTTTTGTGAAGGCACGAAAGATGATATTTTTGTTTGGTCTGTATAAGCCAAATAATGAAGCAATAAACAGTAACCAATTTGTTTTGAGACTTGCATATTTCCCTTTCCTGTGCATAGTTTGCTGTGGAACTTTCATGCGTTTCAAATATTTATATCTACATGTACATAACAAAATATTTACCATCCTGCAGCGAGACTGGTTCGTCACCATTGTCGTTTGGAGCTTGCTGCAATATCGGTGCATCACCGTGGAATGTTGAACCTGCAGTTTGTGAAAAAAAATATTGTAAAGAATAAGTCTATGATAAATGGATGATGGTATACATGTGGTGTTTTATTGCTGACTTAATCAAAATGATTTTGTTTGTATCTAGGAAAACTGGAAAAATAATGTTCAAATGTTTGTCGTTTTAAAGCTTCCCTGGTTTTAGACACGAACTGAAATCTCTTTGAAGCTAAAATAAAGATTCCAGAACTTTGTAAATTATCAAAGACAAGAGCTTTCATGAAAAACTTCCTGTAATCTGTGATTGCTAGGTCGTACGAAAACTATACAGGCTTGATCATTTGGATGTCCTGAAAATTCTTAGAAATATGTAAGTGTACACAGAATCGATGATACATTGCATTCATGCGAAGATAAATGTTGAAGTCCTTGATTGCTTTGACTTGACGTCAACGTCATTTAACAAGTCATGTAATTATTATTCGTAATTTGTGTTATAATACACTTTTTTGCAGATTGATCACCTACAAACAAGAAGAAAAATATATCAAAATTTATTAAACCACATAAAAAGACGCGAATCGTCGTTGTCAAGGTACATATAATGTTATCTTTTTTCCAAGACAATAATTATGTAGAGCAGAAAAGATTTTAAACTTCTATCCATTTTGTTATAATGATATTCAATTTTTATACATATATTAAAAACTCTTCGTCGGTAAAATTACTTAATACCAGACTGAAACAGGACTTTGAAAGCTTGTTACCAAGCTACAAAGCATCGTAATGGGCAAACTTTTAATTTATTGTTGTATTTTATATTTAGTACGTATATGTATTTATATTTATGTAAGGGAACAGTTGTCAACTGGGACACTAGTCGTGTTACTGTTTCCCGTCACTATATGTAATAATTGTGACAAATTAATTAATTAAATAAATGGGAGTGTAATAGAGAAAATTTGGTTCCCTGGTATCTGGCTTTTGTCTAGTTTTACTGAAACAGAAAACGTGAGTAAATAAACAGTAACCAATTTGTTTTGAGACTTGCATATATATTTCCCTTTCCTGTGCATAGCTTGCTGTGGAACTTACGTGCGTTTCAAATATTTATATCTACATGTATATAACAAAATATTTACCATCCTGCAGTGAGACTGGTTCGTCACCATTGTCGTTTGGAGCTTGCTGCAATATCGGTTCATCACCATGGAATTTTGAATGTGCAATTTCTGAAAAAAAATGGAAATAATAAGTCTATGATAAAAAGATGATGGTATGCAAATGGTGTTTTATTTCTGACTTAATCAATTTTGTTCTGGTATGCCACTGGTATATGTAGGAAAACTTCAAATCGTTTTAAAGGTACAAAGGTAGGTTCTACCCTATCAACGTGTTTGCTGTTATCTGTTAACTGTTAGCTGTTAACTTAACCAATCATTGACTAGTATTGTCAGAAATGACATAATTACAAATAAAAGCCTGTTCGCACGCTGGGTCGCAGGCAGGCTAGAAATTACAAAATGGCGGTTATATACTGGGAGTCGAAATTTATATTTGCTGAAACTTCGACGACATTTGTATCAAGTTTCATGGTAAATAGTCTAGTTACATTGCCAATTTTTAGTAGGATATTTAGTTTATACTTTGATGCAGTTTACGACATATTCTTGGATTTCGCAGTCGGTTTTTGTTTTCTTTGAAATAGGGTAAGAACGTAAGATTAAGAATCATAAAATGATATAATTTTACTAAATATATTTACTAAATAGTACTCGAGCGTAAACAATAAAATAAGCAAAAAGTAAGCAAAAATTTAAAATAAGCAAGAATAGTGGAAAATAGTGCACACATGTGTTGAACGTTTACACTAATTAACGTAATATTGACTATTTCTATTAATTTTTGCACCCCCTCCACTTTGCACCCCTGTTGACAAAGCAAAGGTCAACAAGTGTGCGCACCTCTGTGCACTCCCTCCCTATAAATCCACCCCTAGTTTACCAATTAATAGAAACCTTAAGATATTTAGCTGCTGTATGCATCTGATGCAAACTTCACTTGCGATAGTAACTTCTAGTATATATTTAACATCATTCCCGACGCTTACCTACCTGCATCAAGGACGGATTTTCAGATTTTGCTCTGGAGGTGTGCCCAAAATTCAGAGGGGGGGTGCTTACTCCTCCATATTTTTTTATTTTGAACTCTCTGAAATGTGTTTATCTGCATTTTCGGCCTTTGCATAAGGTTAACTTTACGGCCTTTGAAGTTAACTCGTGTTTTACTCTTTCAATGAAACTTTACAATGAAATATTATGATAAAAAAGAAACAACATTAGTTTGGTCTGATCTATCAATATTCTATCTTCAGTTTCTTATTAAAGGGAGTCCAATACGAAAAAAGCAGTGAAATGAAATAAATATTCACGTAGATGTCACCATTCGGTGCTGCACACCGAGTTGTGATAGCGATTTTCGCAAATTTTCTCGCGAATTTTCTCGATTTTGTCGGATATAAAAACGGTTTTCTCATCTTGTCAAAAAAACCAATTTCCAATTTAACGTGCATAATTCAAAGAGTATTTATGCTAACGAAATTTTCCTGAGCTAAATGACTAAGTGCTGACCCACGTAACATGTGTTTTACTGCGCCCTGCCAGAACGTAACACGTAAGCGCTAGAATGTAACATATAAGAGCTGGTAACAGGCGTGGAGAACATAAGCACCAGTCAGTGACACTAGTAGGTAAAGAACGAAACGAATTATGTTTTTGTCTAAAGAGAGCGTGCACACAAAGATACAAACTTATTTTTTGACCATTTACTTTTGGGGGGAGGTTGCAAATTTTTCTAGGGGGGGGGTGCAAAAAAATCTAGGGGTGTGTGCACCCCCCCAGAAAATCCGTCCTTGACCTGCATCTTCGAATACGAATTTTTTTTCAACAGGCTCTGATTTTGTGCGTCTCCCAATGTATGTCTCCGCGATCTAGTGCCAATTAGCCAACGAGCAGACGTTTATTGAGCTGGGCATATGGAATAATAAACGCCCGCCTGCTCGCAGGCTAAGTGCCACTCTGCTTGGAGGCCACTTTAGTGGCTGGGTAATAGATTTTTCGTTTTTCAATTCAGCATATATTTCAACAATCCTATGGTTATAGTTCTCTTTTTAATTTATTATAACAAAAAACTGCACCGAAGTAATGTTTATAATCGTCATTTATTGCTATTGGATTACTTTCCAAGGTATATTAGATGTAACCAAATGCATTGTTGTTGGCAGTGACTCTTTAATTATCTATTCTACGATGAAAGGTTCAAAATTTCAGATACGTACTATAAAGAGCACGGGCATACCTGCATATAGTTTCTTTTTAAGTTTCCCGAAATAGTTTCGGGGCTTTCTTCTTTTGCAAATTCCTGAAAATAGAAAAAAAATATTTGAAATGTGTCACGATTTATCGAAACTTCATAATGGTGCACATTTAATCTTTCCACTTTCCAACTAGACACCTGCTCAAACGTCTTATTTATATAACAGACAATGCGGATAAAATATAAAAATTGCTAGATAAGACTAGATGTAGACTGTAGGAAGGGGACCTGGACTACTGCATTTGGTCTATGAGGAAAGTGAATTAGCCAAAGATGGCCTCTTTTTGGTCTCTCTGGGTATTTTTCGGCTGTTCGCCTGTTTCTGACCTTGACTTGGGCTCAGACAAAACATTGGGTCGTTTACAATATATTGTGATCCCCTGCATGTGCTCCTAAAAATAAGGCGTGAAAACGACCTACTATACTACTGACTGCAAAAGAATCGCAGGGAGGCGCAGGTCATAACAACTTGAAAGAGCATCACAAAATTAGTAGCTATTTAACAACGCAAGAAAATCATGAGAAAAATCTGTGAATTGTGAGGTGCTGTAGCCTGTGCCTCAGTCCAATTCACCACAGAATGCGATGCTGATTTTGACTGAAATAACAATGTTTCAAGTCAACCAAGCATTTTTTACAATGCTAAATATTAGCGTAAAATGGGCTATTAAATAGTACATCTCTAAAACAGCACGATATAATTTATTTGAGCGCAAAAGCGGCTTTTCTAGATTATCTGCTGCATTGGCACGGGTATACTTCTTCGAGCCACCCGGTAGTTCACATTATTAATGTTATTAGGTTCGTGCAGCACGAGGAGTAAAAAACTGGGTGTTTTAGATGTCCTTGTATCAGTATTGTTTAATTTGAGTTGAGATCACTTCTCTCAAGGGTTGCTGACTGTCAACATTATTTTCAAATGCTTGTTATGTGTAGCTAGCGTAATATTTTTTGAAAAATTCTTGTTGAGTTTTTTGGCGAATCTTGTGGTCTGACATAAATAAAAGGAATCTAAGAACTCTGGTTAATTAAAGGATTGTGGAAATTTTCCATCCAGCTTAAATTCTGAAACAAAGGGGTTTTTTTGGAAAATTTGTGTATGCATGGCATCGTTTTTACCAATCTCGCTCTCAGAGTATGTTCGCAGTTTAGGTAGTGGCATACTCTGGCGAAATCGAAATGAAATCGCCTCTGCGCAACCTGATTGGCTATCATGAATGAGGTAACGAATTTCATTGGTAGATTTTTGAAAATTTCAATTTGATTTGATCATAATGATCAAAAAAGGGGAAACTCAGTGCAGCACAATTTTATGCATTATTTATTATTTTAGGGGGTTACGTTAGCGTTGGGGTTAGGATTGGGATTAGGGGGTTAGGGTTAGTTCCCCCTATTTTGGTAATTACGGATCAAATTGCATGACGCTATTAATCAATTTCAGGGTGAGACTGTGCTGGCCTGAAAATTTTCAATTTCAAAAGCGATCAACTTCAGGGCCGCCAAGAGAAATCGTGGGGCCCGGGGCAAACTTTTTTCTGGGTGCCCTATGACGTCTTTTTTTTCTGGGGGCCCTATGGCGTCACGTTATTGAATCGCGTCCGGTCTGTGTGGGCCTTAAAGTGGGCTCTTTCATTTTTTTCTTCCGTTTGTTTATTTTTCCGTTTTTCAAATTGGGGGCCCCAGTGCCCAGGGCAATTTGCCCCCCCTCTCGGCAGGCCTGATCAACTTCAAAGTCTTCAAAGTTCAAACGGTATTGACCCTTATGCAGCATGCTGTGGTGAATTTTAAACATGTCCCTATCCATAGGCGTACGGGGCTGATGCTTTCCAGGGGGGCAGTTGCAAGTTTGCCCGAATTTTATTGAAGAATTGTAATGAAACTACCTGAATTTAACCTATTTGCTGATAAATCTGCCCGAATTTTCCTGATTTTTTCTAGCATTTGGCCGAATTTCCATGGTTTTTCAAAATTTGGGGGCAACTGCCCCCCCTGCCCGCCATCTCGTACGCTTATGTCCCTATCCCTAAATTAAACAATAATAACTAACAGTTCACAAGACTAAAGTTTACTTAATTACTTTATATAAAAAAATAACTAATTATTCTGATTGTTACACCGAATCAGCCTCGCTCGTAGCCTCCGTAATGCAGACTATGATTTGCTCGCCCTACGCGAATAACACAGTCTGCGAACCCGAGCTAGAATTCTAGTTCACCAATCAGAAATCGCCTTCAGAAAATGGGAAGGCAGCTCGCAGGATGTTTGCGTGAAATATACGGTACAACATCTCGGGAATGCCGAGAAGCAGAGATTTTAAAAACACAAAGATACTTTACAATAGAGGCTATATTTGAGTACTTGAGAGTGTGTCAGGTTTTTGTATCTACGCATAGCATAGATACTAAGCCGTTGCGCGTGTTAAGTTAAAGTGCTTATAAACCCAAAATGGGTTTTTAATGATTTGGATAGAGCATAAAAAGTTAGTAAGTTCTAGATTAGTTTTTGCATTAAAATTTTAGTTTTGGAGATATTGGGACTCCAAAGTCGATATTTGAAAAAAGTAGCGCATAGCGGGGGACTGGATCCGAGGAACTCGTCTGGATCACTTCACTATAAAATACATTACGTTTCGAGCAGGCACATTGGAAAAACCAAGTATTTTTTACACAAAAAGCGTGAAATGTCTAGTTCAAATTCATATTCGAGTGTGTATAGCAATGCTGTTACCGTATGCCATATGAAATAGAAGATGAACGTCAAGAAAGCGAGAAATGCGATCTTGAAGACGGCCATATTGATGACAACTCAGACCTGGATGCCAACATTGACGAACCGATTGCCGATGAAGTTTGGCTAGAAGGCTATCATCAAAGACGGGAAGAAAACAACAAAAGAATGGCAGAATTAGACATTTGTTGGAATGGAAGCATGCCTGTAACATCATGGTAATTTATGCAATAAATAGCTCGACTATTAAGCTTGTCCCACATGGTATAAATGTTTTTGTCTTTCGTGTAGAATGTATATTATTTTTGTGATAATTTTAGGTGTACCTGTGGCAACCAGGGGCGTAGGAAGCGGGGGGCGCGGGGGGCACGTGCCCTCCCAAATTTTTTTAAAGGACTAAAAGTGCCCTTTTTTGTGATAAAAATAAAAAGTGCCCTTTTTTGTGAGGAAAAGTGCCCCTTTTGTAGAAGCTAATGTCGCTGTAAATACTAAATTAAAACAATAGGTGCCGTTTTTGTGTGGAAATTTACAATTTTTTTTTAAAAATTAGGTCACAAACATAAATTTCGGTATGATACGACGGAAAATTTTCCTCAGGAGAAATTTCTCCCCCCCCACAATGTGACAATTCACTCGCATGGTGCATGATCGGTTGAAAGACAAGAGAATCCCATTGCCTTCTTGTGCACATACTGCTATACGGTCAACGCATAAACATACAGATGATTCATTTACTGGTTATGATGAACTGGAAACAGATGATGAAAGCCAATGAACATATTTTAACATTAATTAGTTTAGAAGAATAAATATGTACAGCTAATTGGATTAAGGTTGTCCTCTAACAAAGCTAAAAGGTGAAAGCCATTACCACTGGATTTAAAAATTAAATATTCCTCTTGCATATTCCTCATAACCAAGATGCATTTTTAATTCATAAAACCCATGGTATTTTTCTTGTTTGCTTTTGTCTAATAGCTTTCTCAGAGGACAACCTTAATGCAATTATATGATTGTATATTATATAGATGTAGAAAATTAAATGAAAATATTGTTAATCCTTCTTGTTTCTTTCACAATCAACCACATTTTTGTGACCTTTTGTGCCATGCTTGCACATCCTGCATTTTGGTGCATTTCTTAGATTGTCCTTGCTGCCAACTGCAGCAGTAGGAACTGAAATAATAGAATGTCAAAAATTTAGAATGGACAACCATATCATTGCTTTATTCACTGATTTATTTATGCATAGATAATAGAAGAGAAGGATAGGAAACTCATTGTCCTAAGTTTTTGTTCATGTTATTTATTTATTCAAGTTATTCACGCCATTGTATTTTCTGTATAATGAGACACTCATCCAATAGCAATGACTGAATTGAATTTAATCAGTTGCTTCATCGTCATGTGTTTGGTCCCTCCATGGTGATGTGTCCATACATTTTACTTCCATATAGGACATATAGGGCATGTCATTGTCTTTCAATATGGAGTTAATTTTTGCTGTAAGACAATGGTGTTGCCTATCCTTCTCTTCTATTATCTATGATTTATGCACTGATTTCAACTGTAATTGCATCAGAACTGATCTTACAATACCTAGGTTTGTTGGAGGAACATCCACAAATTGCATTCTATCCCTTGTATTCTTTTTTTTGAATAGCTGCTTCTCTTGACTGATTATTTAGCATTGTATTCATATGAGATAGTGTTTGCTCCCCCAGTTCAACTATTGCCTCTTCCATCTTTTTGCTCCCAATAACCTTACCAGTGCTTCATAGTATGTCCTCCACATAATCTATTGGACCAAATATATATATATATATAATATTCGTACTATTTTTCATTAAATACAATTAAAATAGCCATATTTAGCCATTTAAATACAAAGCACTGGCTATTATACTACAGTATATTAATTTAAAGTTGATGCGCATATAACTTAAATTATTCAAATTTATGCATGAAAATACCAAAAGCGCTCAGGCTTTAGTCGCCTATAGCATTATCAAGATTATGGTGATAGCACTGATAGCAGCTTACCTCTCTTTGCTTCAGTCTGAGTGTCTTGTACTTTGAAACTGTAGCGGAACCGTATTCAAAACAGTGATTGTGTTGGCGTCCATTTCTCTCTTACGTCGGATAAAGTTACCTATTTCGTCCTTCGTTTAGCCGCTATGGACGAGTTATCATCCCAAAAAGGTATCTGATAGACAAATATGCTATTCCTTGTGTCTGAGTGTTAGAACACCCATAAACAACGCATCGTTCAGGTATTTTTCGAAGAAAAACCCTCAACAACAGTGTCTTCATAATACAAAAGTATAGTAGTTGTCCAAGATGGGTTCCTCGGATCCAGGCCCCTTTGTGATATTTTGGCTGCGCACCTTTTTTTCCGAAAATGGCCAAATTTGCCTGTTTGAGCCCTTATATTTCCAAAACTAAAATTTTAACACAAAAACTAATCTAGAACTTACTAACTAACTTTTCATGCTGTATCCGAATCATTAAAAACCCATTTTGGGTTTATAATAGCCTGATAACAGACCTACTTTTCGCCTCCCCTAAAATTCGTGGGTCGAGGGAAAGGGCGAAATGTAGGTCTGATGAAAATGTTGTCAAAAGTGCATGCCACCCACTTTGCATTTTGTAATAATTAACGATAATGATTGACACATTTATTGTAACACCTAAAAATACAATGAAAGTTGTCGATTTCATTTTATTGAAAATGTGTAAACAAAGTCGATAAGTACAGATGTTTGAATAAATATTTAAAATATTGGTAACCCCATGCACTCCGTTGCTTTTATATACTCGACTAAATTGTATTGCGCTGACACACATATTGATATATTTGTATCATTGTATGACTTGTATCAGTTTTATTATGATTATTCACAAAAATTAGCTCATTTTAATAGAATTATTGTATTGTATATTACAACGGAAAGACACAACGCTGAAGTATTTGACGCGTACTGTATACTACCTGCGAACCCAGACGTAATTTCCTCGTTTCTCGCTCACTTATTTTCCGACATTTCTTGCTCGGTTATTTTCCGAGCGAGAAATGAGGAAATTACGTCTGGGTTTGCAAACTACACTCTTCTCCCCTCTAGTTTTGGTTTTTAGACGGTAGATACTCACTGATAACATTGGTGGTTTTCGGGCTTGACGTATTTTTGACAGGTGGAACATCTGACTTTGCCACAATGATGATCACGAAGACTGGCACGAGTAAAAACACGTTTGCATTTCTTGCATTTAATTAAAGCACGACACAGGGATTTGGCAGGACCAGCATCATCTCTATGGCGGCTGAAGCATTCGTCACTTTTAAAGAAACGGTTACAGTCTTTGCAAAATTTCCATTCAACAATAGAACAGTTTTGGGTATGGCATAACTTGCACAGATCGCCACACAGATGGTCAGTAATCTTGTCGAGTCCCTTCTTACATTTATGACAATACTGTTTACGGGCGAGGAAGGCAGGCATACTGGTGATGACATCGTAATGGTTATCGTGGTGGTACAAATATAGGTGTTTTTCAGAGATCATGTTCAGCTGATAACCAGGAAGAGCAGCTTCACAACGTCACGTCGTTTTCTACCGGCACCGTTAGGCATTTCCACATGGACCATGTTGACGCTGACAGAGTCATCCAAAGTAAATTGGTCATTGGACTGTACGACACGTTCAATAGCAGCTAGGAAACGTTCAGGCGTCAGATGATCTCGTTGTAGGAAAGGCAAGGAAATGGATTTGTCCAGCTGATGCAAGTTGAGGATCAAGCGAACTTGATCGTGAGGTGCCATGTCACTCGTAAGTCGGTCAAATAAGTGTTGAAATGCGCGGTTCAACGTCGACATGACGTTTGACACCCCGTGCACGTCCAACGGATTGAATCGGACAGTGTAGTCTGTACCTAAAAACCGTAATACACTATTGTACTAACCAAGTAATAGCAATCGGAAGACTATGGTTGGTAACAAGTAGCCTTAAACACCCAACATTTCATGAGTCGTGTTTACGGTACAAGCCTTGCATTAACCTTGGCCTACATTTTGACAGTGTAAACAGACTTTGGCCTAGTCTTTGCCTGGCCTTGGGGTCTGGCCTATGCCTGGAAATCTGGGTTCACTACAAGTGGTGGCCTAGGCCTAGGCTTGTGGAAATATAAACACGTTCGGCCTGGCCTGCGTCGTATTTTCATGGCAACGTGTGTCTGCAGTGAGAGATTAACGGACAACCAACGGACAACATGATTTATATATCTGATTGCAGTGAACGAACAAACTTTAAAGCTATCACTCATTGGACATACAACAATAATATTATTGAGATTACCCAGTGATATAGAATAATCCTAAAAAGAATACCTAAAAACGGGGGGTCGTGGGTTGTACAAACAAGGCTATTTATCGGATAGTGCTATACTTTAGCTACAATTCAAATCATAAGCCCTGTAAATACTAAAGCTTCATTTGAGAGTTATGGCTATTTATAAAAAGCTTATGCGTTGGATAGGTTTGTACGTTACAGATGTACACACAAGCAATAAACATAACTCTTATTTGACTCTGTTTACACTATACCGGATTCGCTGGTCACGACATCTTCTTTTGCCGTTACGGAGCAATGGTTAATAGCAAATTCTTATCAGTTTGACAGAATTGGCATGTTTATTTAGGTCTCTGAGATTAAAAATCTTCACTGCCTTTCGATACCTACAAAATTTGACCCACTCCGGTAGCAATCCGGTATAGTGTAAACAGAGCCTAATAAAAACGAGACCTTGCTCGCACATAATAAACTCTATCCCGCACATAACTGATGTTACGCTTAAAAATATAAAAACAGTTTGTGTACCTGTCGTCCAGAATTTCCTCACGTTGACTTGTTTCACCGACTTGATTGTAAAATACTCCTCTGGTCTTTGGCGCTTTGAGGGGACGTCATCACTGGCGTGCTTTTGCTTGCTCCCTTCACCCATCTGGTTTTCTGACGGTTCAGGCAACTGTTCGAGTTCCTCGCACAAACCTTCGTCATTAGCCCAATCTTCGTTGAACAGGCGACGTTGATCCTCGGTCCAATTATCCATGAAGCCATCAACAACTCCAACTGGATTCTCAAGTTCAATATCTTCAGCCATAGCATTCGTCCAGAAAATAATACGTTGCTGAAGAATTAGCTTCCTTCTGCTCATCAGTGAGCATAAACGACTCCTGAAGAAAGTCGAGCTCACTTTCAGCTTCACAAGCTTTGATCAGATCCAACATGTTAACTCATAAGTCTCATTGCGCCCCCATGCGCCCAGGAATTGGGAACGGGGTAAGTCTCATTGCGCCCTCATGCGCCCTGGATGACACGTCAACTTCCGGGCACGATTGTCTAGCGCGTATTTATCGGGTTGCCTAGCAACGATCACGAGTATAAAGTGCAAAATTCGGGCTTTCAAACGATACATCATGCGAGAAAATTGATCAAAAGTTTGCGAAGATTTTCGATTTTAAAACTCTATTTTTTACAAAACCTGTGACAACCGCAAAGTGTCACAAGATAGGACTTTGCAGCAAGTTTTAAGGATGAAAAAGAAGAGGTTTTTAAAGTGTTTTATATATAAAATATATTGTAAAACATAAGGGAGTGTGCATATGTTTCAAGTCAAGTTCTTGTCCAAATCAAGTCGTGCGATTTTCAGCCAGAAAAACAGCAATTTCTTTCAATCTAACGGAAAAATGAAGTGGGAAATCGCAAGAAACATGAACACTAAATCCAAGTGAGTAGTTACGATTTTTTGAGCGTGTTTTTGAATGAAAATACCTGGCATGTTTTCATGAAATTCGATATAGCATTAAAGCAAGTTCAATCTAGTTTAAAACTAAGTTTTTAGAAGAACTTTTCGTGCATTTTATGGCATGATTTCGACTGTTTTCGTGACCCTACTGTTGGTCTTCTTGCTCAAGTTGTTATTTTAGCCAAAGTACTTTCAGAAGACAGTAGGTTCAACTTGTCATGTGCGTATATACATTCTTGGCAAGAAAAATTTCGAGTAAAACCGCATTAAACTAAGTAGAATACTCTACAATGAATACTATATCTGTTTGTATAAACTTTGTCTCGAAACGAGCTCTCATTTCAGAGATAATGTGGTTTAAAATCAGTGTATTGAATTATGCCGTTACTTTGCGCATGCGAATTCTGAACCTTTATGACAGGGATTTGAAAAGCTTCTAAAATACACTTTATTGCTTCATATATCCCCATAAAATTTTTAAATCAATAAAGCACATCATAAAATTAATGTACGCTCATTTTCTAAGAAGTACTCATCGATTACCTGAAGGAAAAGTTTAAAATAGGTCAGGACAGTAGTTTACAAAATGCCGTTCTCCTCTGAAATGGCTTCTTTTGCGGGAAGCCATTAAATTTATGTACTTTCCAAAATTGTAATTTAGTCGCTTTTTTGGTCTCATTGTTCACTTATTTATCATGGAATTACTTCGCTTGAGCTCTTTTAATAATATCTGCAAGATACTTTGCTATTTGGTGAAATAAAAGCTATATTTTTAGCAGTTTATCTTTTGAAAACTGCATGCGCAACAAAGTGTCACCAATGTGTTTACTCTCGTCTGACAAACAACCAAAGATGAAATACTTTATTTCACTCTTTTATAGCAATCTAAAATGCCTAAATATTAGATTATTCATTTTATTTGAGCATACATATTATATTTTTATACAATTGGTCCTTGAAAAGGACTTATTTCAAGCTAGAGTCAGATTTCAAACTAGAGTCAGATTTCAAAAGAAACCGCCTGTCTGACATTTTACAGCAACCTACATTGGCGCGCACAACGTTTTAGCCACAAATCCGTTGTTTTCTCAACAGAAACAAAAGGAATTTCAGTTAAAATTCTTACCTGATGAATATTCAAAAGTATTTATCTCTTTTTCACGACTTTCAGTGCTCTCAATAGCGAAATAAAAAGCCTTTTGTTTTGTCACCGCACGCTGCGTTTGAAAATGCCGGCTGTCAAAGTCAGAATTGAAAACACCTCAAATATTTAAAAAAAATTTTCTCACCTTTTTCATCCTTTGTTTATATTTTAATTAGTAATTTTTGTACTTCGTGTTTTTCCAAACATATTTGAGCTATTTAAAAACTTCAAAGAGGTACAAACACTGTGTTTTTGGGTTACAGAGTTTTTGCACTTGAACAACAAGTTCTGAAGTTCAAGTTCTCCATTGTAAACTAGATGTCCTGAGTGTGCCTGATCTATGCCCAAGCAAATTTTTATAGCGTTTGATTATTTTGTAATTTATACCCTACAAGATGAAAACTAATTTGAATATAAATGTGTACCAATCCAGGAATCAAAAAATATTTCGCCGTTTATGTTGGGTTATGGAATTATTGCCCTTCAGATGTTGGGTGTCATGAAGAAACAAAATGTCAGGGACTAAATTTGCACAAACCATGAATTCTCACCCAAAAATCTAATGATATATTTAAGTGTTGGAGCTCATTTAAAATAAAATTGATTAATCATTTTAACCCACTGTCAAATTTCAAGTAAAAGCAGTTAACAGAAGTTGACAGCAACTAAAATTCGCCATTTTCCTTACAACTTGGGGAGTGCCAATGTTGCAACAGTCTGCAACTTAATGAGTTAATAACAAAATTGATTTGCTTGAAAATCTGATGAGTGCTATTTTGCCTAGTATGTGACTCATCAGATTTTCAAACAAATCAATTTTGTTATAAAATCAACATATTACATTAAATCAAAGCTCACAAAATGCAAAATAGCATACCTACAGTACATAATTCGGAAATTCATTGTTATACTGTATAGTTAAAAGCAACAATCTTTTAATGTGTTGTTCAAAAAAATATAAAATTTAAGAATTAAGATTGTTGTGTTGCCATGACGTAAACACGAGCCTGCGTTTAGTGTTGATCAATTACTAATAACTTTGTGTAAGTCAATGTTTGGAAAATATATAGGCCGTATTCTGAGCCTGATTTTCGTTCATGTTGTTGTCCAACCTCGGGCACTAATTTTAATTTACAAAATACTATAGATTTTTGTACGCTGAATTCGATTTCAGTTGTTGTCACGCATACTTACCTGCAGTTTTTTAGTATTTCGTGACCAAACTTCAAGAAATTTCGCTCGTTGGAATTCACATATCCGCCATTTTTCTGCTGAATACTTCATGTAATATTAAACTATTACGCTAGTTTCAGTCTCTTGTCGGTGGCATTACTACGCCGTTTTATGCAATTTGCATTGCTTTTTTCTTTTCTCAATTGTTTTGAGCTATCAAATTATTATTATCAATACAAAAAAATGATTGCCTTAAAGAAAATGAAAAAGCAGACTTTTTACTCACCCAACATTTATACAACAGTTGCTTTGTTCACTATTCACGCAATAATTCATCAGCGTTGTTTCCTGGAAATTCTTGGCACCAGCCGTAGATTTGTTTTGTCCTCTTTAATCTTTCGAGTTGACCAAAAACAAAGTGTAGAGTAAAAAGTATAAACAATGCGCTATTTACTTGTAAACTTTTCGATGCTTTATTCTTCAAATAATTCATAGTCGCTTTCGCATACACTGTCCGAAGAATCTGCATCAGATAATTCGCCATCACTGATTTCCTTCGCATTTGTGGTTTCATCGTGCTTGTTTTGGCAATTTGCGCAACGACAACATTCAGTGCATTTTAAGCCCGCTTTTAGGCAGGAACAGCGCTGTGTCCCACAACCCGTCTTGCACTTGCAATCTACATACTCACGAAGTGAATCAGGTGCAGAGGGACGAGTCATCCAGACAATCTCTAGTTGGCCATTTGATAATCTCCAACCATTACCTACTGGGGGAAAAGTTGTGACTGCATGTATCACGGTGGGCATAAAAGACAGCGAATTTGGCCAAGTACATATAACTTTCTCTCGTTAGTTTGGAATATCTCGAAACTCCCTCACAGGATAGAACTTAACACTCCTAGAAATCGTATGTTTTTTGTTTTTCGATTTTGTTACATTTTGGCGGGAAAATGACGTGCCAACTTTGGCGCCAAAAAATTAAACACGAGCTAAGAACATGCTAGTAACTTTTTCGAAAAGATTGTCCTATAAGGATCTCAAAACTGTAAAAACTTTAAAAATACAACAAGGCAGTGCGAAGATATGGCGATTCAAAGTTCTATTTTTACTGAAAAATCAGCCATTTTGTTACTAAAAATAGATTTTTTTCGAACTTTGAATCACCATATCATGCATGTTCTTAGCTCGTGTTTATTTTTTTGGCGCCAAAGTTGGCACGTCATTTTCCCGCCAAAATGTAACAAAATCGAAAAACAAAAAACATACGATTTCTAGGAATGTTAAGTTCTATCCTGTGAGAGAGTTTCGTGATATTCCAAACTAACGAGAGAAAGTTATATGTACTTGGCCAAATTCGCTGTCTTTTATGCCCACCGTGTATAAACAACGACTCCATGCAGCTGCTTGAAGATTTGCTCTCAATGTGTTTCAGCAGGCTATTGCAGTTCGGAGGAAGAGTCTCATCTGAACATTTCCCTGCTTTGAAAAGACTGTATCGGCACTCATCTACAGTCTTTGAAGATTTGTCGCCGTACAGCAAACAAACAAATACATTCAGCGACATGACAAGATCCTGTGATAGAGTGGACGATTTTCCCAGATCGCAGAAACTTTGAACAAAGTCTGGATTGTCTTGAAGTATCTTCCATGGCTTCGCTTTTCCTTTTCCGCGGAAGGCACTTGTGGAGTCACAACCTATCAAAATATTAAAAAATCGTTCTTTTAGTTTTTGTAAATTCCTTACCACGTACACCTAACGTATGCAATATACAAAAAATCTGTGTACCTGAAAAGGCATGAAATCCCAGCAAGCAAGAGCATAGCTCCTGTCCAAGTACGTCAGATATGGCTGAAGTATCTATAATTCGAAATCTGTTACCTGTCCCTACCATCACGAGTAATTTCTTGCCAATCGTCCTGCACATGGCAATACAAAGCAAAAACATGTCCGTGTCGGGGGTTTTAACAATGATGGTATCATGAGTTTCGGCTGCATGATTTGAATGAAGAAGTAAACGTGTATCAGCTTCTTCGTGATCACATTGAAGTTCAGGAACTTCATGATGTAGGACACAATCATTCGGGGAAGATCCAGTTGTTAGTAGGTGGCATTTAAACTTTGACGTGATGTACAGGCATTCTATGTAGCACAGACGCGAGGACTTATACGTACGCCAATAATCACACAGAAATGCGATCAACGATTCTTTATTTTTTCCAAATTCTGCAAATGTTTTCCACTTGCCGTTCATCATTTGTATAACAGCCATTGCGTCGATGATAAGTGCATTACGTTCTCCTATGTCTTCCGCATCTATAACTGGATTAAGAGCCATACCTTCTAAAATATCGAACATTTTGGCTTTTGCTGTCTTCACTAGACCTCCATTAACAGTTGCCAACGAAAGCGGATAATCACTCAGGCTGTACGAGAGCAATTCGTCCAGGTTGATTTCGCGCGTTTTTGACAAAATCAGCAATCTAGCAAAGAGATCTCTGCTTGTCTTCATTGATACTTGGCGGCCTTGGCTGTCCTTCACTGTCAGTTTTTTAGAAGGAAAAGTTTGCAACTTATTTTTCTTGATTTTCGTGAAAATATCTGAATTGTCAGTAAATAAGTTATTTTGGCATAATTCGGAGAACTGATTCTCACCAAGCTCTTCAGCTTGTAGGATTCTGTCAGACTTTTCAAACATCACAAACAGACGTTTCATAAAGTAGGCTCTTGCTCTCATCAAGATCTTTCCTTTCGCTAGAAGTAATGACAAATAAAAAACAGTATTTAGTGAGTACACACACTGAGCCAACGAATTTTTCGTTAATGTTAGAAAACAGCAATATTCTTAAATTACGCAGTTGAATACGTACCGTGATTTAGAATTCATTCCAGACATAGATTTACATTGCTTTGTGATTGCAGCTCTTTCAGATTGCGACAATAACCATCTGTGAACTGCCGGGCGGTTCATTGAAATACCAGTCAAACCACCTTTCGTCTTCGAATCACGGTTAACTGTTTCCTCGATGGTTTGATCACGCCACTGCGGAAAAACCGTGATTATTTTGTCGTTGGACTGAAAAGTTAGATGATAGTTCGGGAAGGATTCCTATATAAATTAGGAGAAAAATGAAGGTTATATATAGCAATAATGTAATTATTCAACGTAATGATACCCATTTCAAATGCTGACAATTTGTCTATAACAAACCTGGATGGGTTGCTTCTAGTGAAGTCATTTCCAACTAGTAGGCAGAACCGTATCTGGCGTAATGGACTTTATCACAAGCAAAGAACCATGGAATCATCAGTCTGAATGTGGAAAGATGCAATTCCCAATCAACTTCTCATGTTGCTCGTATGAACGTCAGAAGTATTCCTGAGAAAAGAAACAATTTTATTTTTGCATATGTAGTTATAAACTTTTTGTGAAACCAAATAAATCATGATTTTGAATTGACATTGGTTCCCACTACGTTTAATAGAATAACAATTAAAGCACTTCTTACCGGCCATTTTCATGTACATACTCCAATACGCGAACGTTTTTGACTTTCCAGAGGATTTAGCAACGAACTCCAATAACAGCTCATTGAACGGTTGACTTTCCAAATATTCATGAAATTTCCCTTCGTTAAACGAGTCTCACAAGTCCATAGTGAGCGAAAGAATGCGTTCTCGAGATTCTTCTTCCAAAGTGTCAAGGAATGTTTCAAATCGAAGGCGTTCTAAGGCTTTGTACACAGTTTTGTGGCAAAAGACGGATCTGTTGTAGTGTTTGCCTGACAAGACCCCTTTGATTGACCCCTCGCTTACTATCCCTGATTTGACAAATACGTCCTGAAAAAAATGTAGCTGTTATTAGTTAATGCTTTGAAATTAGACAGTTGTGGCACATAACATAACACATATTTTTCCCAAATTAATAACTCGATTAAATCCTTTCAGAGTCGCCCGCTGCTTTTCAGCAGTCAGAATATGCTTTGCCACTTGTACTGTATGTTCTTGTTTGCAGAATGCCAACGACTTACCTTCAAACCTACATCTACAAAAATCTTTGATATCGCTGACAGAAACGACATGATGGCATGAAATTCTCCCAATCGCACAACGAAACGATTATAAAACAGCTCACTCTTCCATCTTACATGCTGCACCTTAGCATAAACGGCTTTGTCGAACACCAATGTAGCATAACGTAGCTGCAACTTGTCGGCAATGGCTTGGCTTCTTTCAAGGATTGTCTTTATTGTTGAGTACTCTGTTGGAGATGCGTCGATAACAGGAAGGTAACCTATTCGTGAAACAACGGGAATGCTATTTTCACAAAGCTTGGTGTTAAAACCTGTCCATCCAGGAAGAATATCCTTATCTAAGGGCACCAACTTAGCCAAAACATATATGCTAAATCGAGTTTCAAAGCCAGTTCACGTGAAGCCACATCTCCTCCTTCGTCGTTAAATTTGGGTGTTTTCTTAACTCCAATACTAAACTGTACCACGTCGGACTCGGGTACTTTCAAAGAACGCTGCGACTTACTTATTCTTAATTCCTGTGCTTCTCTTTTTTGATTCTCCGATGTAATCTTCTGCGTAATAATCCCGTTCGTAACATGCGTTTGTTTTTTGATGTCTTCCCCAAAGTCGATATTGTCATATACTAAATTGATGGCTTCATTAGCTATGAACTCACGTGGTATAATGTCAGACGTATCAATGACTAACTGTGCGATAGCAGTGTCATAACTCATGGTCGAAGATAAAGACACACAATGCCCTAGACCATTCAAAATGCGAATTACATCGGAACATCCAGACAGCTGCCTTACAGCCATTGCCAATGCAAGAGATTTTGGTGTCTGAGTTCTACCTTTGCTGCTGTTGTAAACGAGATCTTGACAAACAGAAAATACTTTAACAGCAAGTTCCTCGTCCGTATCAACATATCCTGATTCCTGTGGGTCATCTGAATACCCGAGTAGCCACGAAATGAAATTGAAAAGAAGAGGAGAAACAATTTTTTTCACATTTTCACCAATTAGATCCGACGCTACTGGTGGCCACTGCTGATACCATGATCTACTATTATCGCGAATGTTATTTCTTAATTCTAATGCAACCGAATACAGCTCTTTCAACGCCACCTTTCGGCTTTCCTTTCTCTGGACTGAGTCGTCTTGAAAATCTTTATCCTCATCATCCGTCATTTCTAAATCGCTTTCATCCACGGCACCTAACGCTCTCTCGGCAACATAACTGTAATTTGACTTTTCGGCATATACAATTTCTCGTGCAAATCCTCGGTTTGGTTTATGGAATACAAGCTGGGGGAATCTTTCTTCCAACCTCTTTCTTAAACAGCATGTTTTGAAATTGGATGCGTCTTCATTCTCTATGTCCTTCACTTTCGTCACAAATTCATTTTTGAGCCTTGTCATGTAATATATATTCTTGTTTTCAATCAATTCGTGCTGGACGAAAACGCAAAACGACTCAAACGACTTGCGATATTTGTAGTTGTTTACTTCGTGCTTGTTTTCCTCGTCCTGAGGACTGGCGTGCCTTAAAGATGACGTGTAACGCTCGTAGCAGCGTTTGTGATACTTAACCTCTAGAGCGACACAGTCACTGTCTAAGATATGCATAAGGATTCGCTGATCATTTTTTATGGTTGCTGCTTCTCGAAGCTTTCCGCCATGAATGGTTTCCGCCGAGACCAACTTGTCAACTTTGCGCTTTCTCGTGCCCTATTAAATTCAAGGAAATTACTTATATCAATTTGTCCCAGACTCAAATAGGGAACTGCCAACTGGGTTATTCCAGCGCAACAATTTTGACACAGGACCAGTCTCGTATGCAGGCACTTTTGATTAAAAAATTTAAAAAGGGCTGTGCAATTTGGTACATCTAATATAATTATATCGAATAAACACACACACACATCAACATGTTGCTTGAAGCACTTTGTGTTTATTGCTGCTTAAACGCTCGAGCTAAATGCTCTTACATAGTAAAGAATAAATATACTCTACTTATTCCAAGATCTGAACCTTTAAGATCTTGGTGTGAAGATGAAAAACCCAACCTGCATAAAACAGGGCGGAGTATTTAAAAGTTCTCTTGAATATTGTCACTCAATAACATTCGTGTTATCAATTCCTTTACAGATTATTAATACGATAATCTAAAACACACTCCTGGGAAAACCGTTCTTCACTACAATGTATAAATGTTCACGTTCGTATTTTACGCATTCGCCTAAATAGACAAGTTTTTAGACACCTCGAATTGCATGCTTGGCGATGGTTTAATGTACTTATTCTTCAACTGTACCGACTTCCATCCTCCATGACTCTGCATTGACATATCGGACAAATCGTGGCAACCTGGATCGGATGCACCACCACTCTTTAAGCTGTGAGTTCCCAACTTTCTCAAAGAGCACTAAAAGACTGCATTAATTAAATAAAAATTAATTTTTTACGAAAATGTCTCTTGCCGTTAAAAGGCAAATGTAAAATTTAATTTTTACATGAACAGGTCGAATGACCGGTGAGATGACTTTGTAACCAAAATTTGGTGGCCAAAACCCCTGAAAAAATGCAAACTTGAAGTGTTTGAAAATCAACACATTAGCAAAGTGCTATTAAACAGAACAATCACACCAGAAATGGAGCGAATCAGTCGAAAAGACATGAGGATAAAAAATATATAAAATGCTTTGAAACGCCACAATTTGTCAAAAAGACACGGTGCTAAAGACCAAGCCTAATCATCATGCTTTAAAACTCTACCTGTAAAGCTAGTAAGTCAAAACTTGGTGTTCCCGTAAAAACGGACGGTTTCTTTTGATAGGCTATCAATTGCCCTTCACCAGGAATGCACATTTGTGCTATTTTTGGTAAAACTAAACTGTCCTTAACAAATGGAGCAAACTTTCCAGGTTTGGTTTTAATGGCTGGCCAAAAAATAGCGGACGGCCAACGAGGAACTATAAGGGTACCTTTGGCCTTACAAACGGACATGTGTCTAATGACGGGGATGATTAAAGCCACTGGCGAACAGACCCAGTTCGTTTCGTTTGACCAATTTTGAGTAAATGCGTCAACAGCCTCTGTTTCAGGACACCAAAATCGTAAATTGAATCTTGGTAATTGTGTATTGTAACTAGTGGCGAACCTATCAATAGTAATAGGACCCCATGCTCTATGAAGCATAACAAATAATTCTGGGTTTAACTTCCAATCATCTAAATCAATGGTTTTGCTTAACACATCAGCAATCCTGTTTTCTGCTCGAGGAATCCATTGTGTTTCAATCATAATGTCGTTAATGAAACAAATGTTGAAAATGTCTACTGCAATATTTTGGAGTTCTAAAATTCTACTCCCGACTTGAACGATGCGACAGGCGCTCTGGCTATCTGAAAATATTTTCACCTTTTTATGCTGTAAACGTTGCACAGAAGTTTTCAAAACTAGTAGGATAGCCAACAACTCCCGGAACGTGGAACTCTTACCACTTTGCTCAGTGGACCAATGTCCGTGTATATTTACATCCCTCAACGAGGCAAAATAACCACCATAACCAACGCTACTAGCGTCAGTGTGGATTGCTAAAGGTTCTAAAGACACTTTTGGCCGAATGTTATACCCGTTTAGGTAACGTAAATTGTCTAACCAAAATCTCAATTCCTCCATCAAAAGAGGTGGGACGCGCTATCCAAATGCCCTGCCCATGAATCTCTCTGAGAAATTATGAAAAAGAGTTGCTGCGAAAAAAGCCTCACAGGTGGACCGACAGCTAAATACAATGAATTGATGAAACCGGCGATTTTTGCCAGTTCTCGATAAGAAACGTGATTGGAAGACAAAATGTACTGAATGTTTTTCTTAACTTTCTCGATTTTCCGAGGCGGAATTTCGAATTCAAAATTGATGGTGTTAATAATCATACCAAGCCATTCTCCGATTTGCATGGGCTCCCAATGACATTTTTCCTCATTCGTTTTAAGACCAGAACACGATAAATCTTTCTTTTGAATAATACTGGCCGCAGAAGCATCAATACGACATTTATGACCGGAAATACCGTCGTCTAAATAGATAAAAGAGGCGTGGGACATCATATGCCATCGTTTCACTAACGGCCTAAGTAATTTTGTAAAACAATAACAAGCTGAACTTAGGCCACGCGTGACAACAACTGAAATCGAATTTAGCGCACAAAAATCTACAGTATTATGTAAATTAAAATTAGTGCCCGAGGCTGGACAACAATTTTTTTTCGAGCGACTTTTTGAGACAGAGAATACGGCCTAACAGGCGAGCTAGGGGTTGCTGCATGCATTTCTAGTTTAGTAATACTATTAAAAATATGTCATGGGGAAACTTGCTTCTAGTAACAACAACAGAGTCATACAATAAATTCTTTCACTTATTTTTACCCATATGGTGGCTGATCGCTGCCACTCAAATTTTACTCATTTCTTTTCTGACATTAATAAAAAGTGTTTTAAATTAAAATTAAAACACATTTACAATAAAAACAATAAAGTGAAAAATAATAATTTTCATGAAAATCAAATCACATTTATTTCAATAGGGTAACCTCTTCAGTGATGTATTACTGGTATCAAATGAGGTAGACACGTAAAGAAATAAAGTCACAAGCAAAATAAAACACAAATTAAAGTAAAATTAAAATTCTCTAAACCCTATTGTAAATATGAAAAATATCTTGTGTCCCTCACAATATGGTTTCCATCAAGAACATTCTACACAGCATACCATTCTCAACATTGTTAATACAAAACCATCTGCGACACTCTATTAAAACATTCCTTTGTGGCTTTTTTCACCAGTTAGACCGGAATAATTTACTCGTTTGCCCCCCTCCGCCCCCCAAAACAATGTTGGACGTTTTATCCATATTCTACGAATCCAATCAACATTGAATGGTGGGGGAAAGGGGGAGGTTTTCTAAATTTACCATAACATTACGATATTTTGTCAAGTATAATTGGAAGTGTCGCAGATGTTTTGTCCAGGATTGTAGTCTACTATCTCAAAGGAACTAAGGTAATTTAAACCATCATAGTTATACAATTGGCAATCTTGCTATTATCACGGGCACATCAACATGGTGATTCTCAGTTGTAAGAATTGTAAAGAGGGCTGGCACATTTTGTGTTTAAATATCTTTTTATTTTTTGAGCATAGGCTCTGATCAATACTATTCCAAATTTCTGCACCAAGTCGAGAAAATGAACATTTCTGAAGCTCTAGGCAAGAATATTTGACATAAAAATTATTTTTCTTTGCCACTCTTGTATTATTATGAACCGCAGATGTTTTTTTTGAAAAGTTCTTGTAGAGCTGTTGGTGAGTCTCCAGTTGATATATTGTATAACATGTTAGCAGATTCTTTGATATACATCATAGTAATAGAAAGAGAATTTGAAGAAACAAATGTGTGATTATAAAATGATATTCATCAGACGTAAAACACGTTTTTGTAATATAAGAAGTTTCTTAATGTGAACCATGGCAGCATTTCCTGATGCAGCCAGTCCATACGAAAGATAAGGTAAAATTAAGGACCCATATATCTAGTAAGGTATGATTTGGAATAAAATGTTGCAATTTTGAGATAATCCCAACATTTTTACTAATCTTTAATGCAATATAGTCAATGTGATGCTTCCAACTGAAGTGGCAATCAATAATGATACCAAGATACTTTATATATTCATTGTATTTGGGTGGTGTGTATTGTTTAGAATTATTATCATACATGTTAATTACTGGATGATAATTTACTGATTTCTGGTGTGGCCAAAAAAAAAACAAAATTTGATTTTTTTATATTAAGCGTAAGTTTGTTAACATTAAGCCATTTACAAACATTATTCAATTCAGAATTTATAGTCTGGGAGCTATTTTCAGAAACGGCCTTATTTAAGGAGTTTGCACAACCCACCTTACAGAAAAGGTTTGACACTTGATTCCTATAGAATAATATATGCGTTTTAACATGAGATACTTTGTACTATCAATTTGTGGTATAGGTGTCGAGATATCGGGGGTTTTTAGCCACAATATGGCGGAATAACATCAGAGCGAGGCTACGTACCGCGAGGGCCACAGATTGGTTGGCTTTTAACCAAATCTCACGAAAAAGCTCTCGTATGAATGCGCTTTCACGCGGCTTTCGAACAAATGTGAGCAAGTAATCATTGTGTCACGTGACAAATCATGTGATCTAAAAAATACGGATTTTTGGTCTGAATTTGATGAAAAACCCTTGAAAACACATCCTTTCGCAAAAAATAACCCTCAAAATACTACGTAATAGTAATAGAGGTGTACACTGCTGATCAAAGCCCTAAATCTTCAAATGTCTCACATGAAAGGAAGATACTAGTGATATGCCAAGACGTCGTACACGCTTCAAGTAACGCCAGAGTGAAGCTTCCAAAGCATGTATCGTTAGGTATAACTATTAAACATCTAACAAGGTCGAAGCAGCTCATAACTCTGCTAAACCGAATGGGACATTGTTGCTCATATGAACAAACTGAAATTGTGGAAACAGCCCTCGCTGATGAAACAATCGCAAGATCAGAGTTGAATGGAGGTGTTATCATTCCGTCAAACATATCACCTGGTGTGTTTGGCCATATGGCAGCAGATAATAATGATTTCAACAAGGAAACCATCGATGGAAAGAACACTACCCATGTGACGACCTTCGTTGCTTTCCAAAGGAAACAACATGCTCCCGCAACGCCACCCATGGAAATCTACGTGGATCACTCAGAGCGGAAAAGGTCCTTAGATTCGTCAAGGCCTATAGTGACAGTAGAGGATATCAATGTTGGAGGAAGACGTCCAGCCGTTACAAATTACGTTAATAAGATGACAAATGCAAGTTGGCTACAACCAAATGATAATTTCCTTTCAGCTTGTCAAGACGACTTGGTATTGCTAATCCTACGCATGTGTTCCAATACTATGTTTGAAGAAAATTATCAAACGGTTGATGCTCAGAAGATTCCAGGTTGGAGTGGATTTCAGTCCCTCAGATTCT